TGAATGTTTTGAGAAAGCAGTCACTAGCTATGGATTCTTTCAAAGTCAAGCAGATCACACTATCTTTTATAAGCATAATGGAAGTGACAAAATGGTTGTGTTGATTGTATATGTTGATGATATTATTCTCACAGGCAATGATGTAGATGGATTGGCCTCTCTAAAGAAAAGACTTGCTAGTGAATTTCAAATTAAGGATTTGGGAACTTTGAAATATTTCCTAGGGATGAAATTTGCTAGATCAAAAAAGGGGATATTTGTTGATAAAAGAAAATACATTATTGACTTACTTGAAGAAACATGTTTATTTGGGTGCAGGGTAGCTGAAACTCCCGTGGAATGGAATTTGAAGTTGCAAGCTGTGAAAGATGAAGAAGTTAAAGATTAGGAGAAATATCAAAGACTTGTGGGTAGACTCATTTATTTGTCTCACACTCGTCCCGATATTGCCTTTGCTGTAAATGTGGTAAGTCAATTCATGCACGCCCCTACTGCAGTTCACTTTGAAACTGTTCATAGGATCTTAAGATACCTGAAAGGAACTTCAGGCAAAGGTACACTATTTAGAAAGCATGACCATTTACAGGTTGAAGTTTATATTGATGCTGATTGGGCTAGTAGTACTGTTGACAGACCATCCACATCTGGCTACTGTTCCTTTGTTAGAGGTAACTTAGTTACTTTAGCTTAGCAAAAAACATAATGTAGTTGCAAGAAGTAGTGCTGAAGCAGAGTTTAGGGCGTTGGCTCATGGTATCTGTGAGGATATATGGATAAAAAGGCTACTAGAAGAATTGAAGTTTTCTCAGAAGTCACATATTCTTGTTTATTGTGACAACAAGACTGCCATTCCCATAGCTCACAATCCAATCCTACATGATAGGACAAAACAAATTGAGGTTGACAAACACTTCATTAAGGAAAAGATCACTGCAGGGGTCATATGTACTTCTTACCTACCAACAACAGAGCAAATCGTTGATGTGTTGACTAAAAGCCTTCCAAAAATGCAATTCGATAAGTTGATTGACAAGCTGGCAATAGAAGAAACCTTTAAACCAGATTGAGGGAGAGTGTTGGTTTTATGATTTTTTAGTAAATAATTACTCTAAATATTTATTTACTATTTTTTCTTTTATTATTTGAAATTAGTAGTTTATTCTGATATATTCCTTATTTAGATTTGTTTCTCACCTCTACTTAAGATGACTTATGGTTTTATTATTCAATATGAGAAATAATTATTTTTCCTCCCAAATTTAAGACATGTGACTATGCAAATCTTAGAAAATTATGAGGCTTTCCCTCAAGTCAAGCCAGTTTTGTTTCGATGACTTTTTGGTCTTCAATTAGGAGGGGAACAGCTTAACGAAATTCACAGCTTGATGAAGTTCACAATTTGATGAAGTTTTTGGCTCGTTGCTTGACGAAGAGAATATTCAATTCCTGAAGTCTTGTAATCTTCGATTCTTCAAGTCTTCAATTTCGGTTGACTCTAGATGCTTCGCTTGACTCTTAATGATTGTAGACGATTTTGAATGTTCTGATGGCTTTAAATCTCTAATTTCTCTGTAGGCTTCAAATGAGAGGTGAGCTCCTCTAGTTATAGTGTCTTAGTGGGTCTTATATGGGTGATGAACTTAATGGATTCGAGCTCAATCTCCACATGGGTTGATCCAATTAGCAGATATCATCGATCGACCATAAGAAAAACACGTGGTATAATTTGATTTGTTGATTTTAAAATTAATTTAGGACACGTGTAAAATTGTGACTAATCCTAAATATAATTTTAAAATAATGATGTGACTCTTCATAATTGGTCAAATTTTATTATTCAACCGTTGCTTTTATTTGAAGAGAGAGGGAGGGAGGGAAGGGAGGAGCGAGCAAGTGGTGCGGGGCTGACACTCTGACCCCTTGGGCACAGAGGAGACATGCGGCGACATCCTAGATCATACTCTGAGGCACGTTAGGATTCGATCGTAGGGTATCAGTGCCTCCTTTTTCTAGTTGCCTCTAGTACAAATCGCACAGGTAGCTCGGCCTTTGATTCGGTGAGCTCAGTTTAACTAAGGTAATCGTGTACATGGCCAAATTGGGGCTCATGCGCATGTCTTTGGATTTTTTTTTTTTCAGTACATGTCTCCTCGGATTTACTTGGTAACAGACAAGACATGAATAATATGCCAAATGAAAAATTAAAAATAGATATATCAATATATAATGGTGTAAACACTAGGGTTTAAGAGAATCCAATATATTTACTATTCGTTATTAAAGTCTAAACAAATATACAAGGTTGACCTAATCCTATAAGGAGAAAGTAAAGGATAAATTAATACATATCAATACAAGAATATAAAAATATACTAATATACTCTAACACTCCCCTGAAGTTGGTGCATATATGTTAATCATGCCCAGCTTGTTAGAGAGACAATCTATCCGTGCTCCATTCAATGCTTTAGTAAAGATATCTCCTAACTGCTCTTCAGTCTTCACATATTCTGTAACCACTAATCCTTGCTGTATTTTTTCACGTACATAATGACAATCAACTTCAATATGTTTGGTTCGTTCATGAAATACTGGATTAGATTCAATATGGAGAGCTGCTTCATTATCACACCAAAGTTTCATTGGATTGGTGATACCAAATCTCAATTCAGTCAGAAGTTGATATATCCATACCAATTCACAAACCGATTGTGTCATAGCTCTATATTCTGATTCAGCACTCGAACGTGACACCACATTTTGTTTCTTACTTTTCAAATAAACTAAATTACCTTCGACAAATACACAATATCCTGAGGTTGATCTTCTATTTTCCTTATAACCTACCCAAAAAACATTCAATATTGAGATGACCATGATTTTTATATAACAAACCACGTCCAGGAGCACCTTTCAAATAGCATAGAATATGTTCCGATGCGGCCCAATGGTCAGTCGTAGGATAACTCATAAACTGACTCATAATATTGACTAGATAAGCTATGTCTGGCCTTGTGTAAGATAATTCAGCTTCCCTACTAATCTTCTATACTTCTCAAGATCTTTCAACAACTCTCCTGCCTTTGTAAGTTGTTACATTAGGTATCATTGGAGTACTACGTGGCTTAGCAGCTAACTTTCATGTTTCAGTTAACAGGTCAAGTGCATATTTTCTTTGTGGTAATAGAATCCCCTTCTTGCTCCTTATTACCTCAATCCCTAAGAAGTATTTTAGCACTCCCAAATCCTTAGTATGGAATTGACTATGAAGAAAAGTTTTGAGTGATAGGATGCCTGATGAATCATTATCAGTAATCACAATATCATCTACATTTACAACTAGTAAGATAACACCAGACTTAGATTGTTTATAGAAGACAGAATGGTCCGACTTACTCTTCTTCATTCCAAAGTCCTCAATCACCTGACTGAATTTTCCAAACCATGCTCGTGGACTTTGTTTCAGTCCGTATAAGGATTTTCAGAGACAACATACCTTTCCATTCTCCCCCTGAGCAACAAAACCTTGTGGTTGCTCTATATACAGTTCTTCTTGAAGATCACCATGAAGGAAGTCATTTTTAATATCAAGCTGATGTAGGGGTCAATGGTGAATAGATGCCAAGGAAATAAATAACCTGACAAAATTAATTTAGCAACTGGAAAAAAGTATCCGAATAATAAATTCCATAAGTCTGAGCACATCCTCTAGCAACAAGACGAGCTTTCAAACAGGCAATTGATCCATCAGGATGAGCTTTAACAGCAAACACCCATTTACAACCGGTAGGTTTCTTTCCTGCAGGAAGAGACACTAAATCCCAAGTACCATTGTCATTTGGGCATAATAGGACATTTCATACTATTTGTATGATGGAAAATTGATTTTTATATGGGGTGTATGTAAATATGTGCATACATAGATATATATACACACGTACATATTTACATATTATATATATTAGAATGACAATATCGATGATATCTGCTAATTGGATCAACACATACACATATTTTTATATATGTATGTGTATGTACGTGTATATATATATATATACACACATATACATATATTGCATAAAAAATAATATATGAACTTTAAAATAATAAGGAAACATACTCTCAATATGTCAATAATTTTTAAACAAAATTAGAAACACATTATACAAGACGTCAATGGCAATATTGATTTATCAATACAGATACTGGGACAAAGAATCAACAATATACTCGGACAAAGAATCAACAACATAGATACTTGGACAAAGAAGTAATATATAATCAACGTGCTCATAAAAAATTGAAATACATCTAGTAAATAACATTGTGCATGGAAGGAAAGCAATAACTAACTTTTTGAACAATAAATCTCATGCTCAAATATTAAATCATGAACAATAAGATAGATTCAAAGATAGTAACGTGATAAATAAATAAACAACGTTCAAAATATTCAGTGTGTACACGTATATACACTTTAATATTTACTTCTTATTTCTCTATTTTAATTAACGCTTGAAAATTCTGAATTAAAATTTGAAATTGGAGAGAGAAAAAAGGAAAATTTTCATATTTTAACCTAAAAGTTTTTATTTCATCAAATTAAATGTTAAACTTAAATAAGCAATACAATTAATACTTCCTTCAATCTAAAATAGAAAAGAAAAAAAAAACTTACAAACCAGCTAATGAATCACACAAAAGCCAACCAACCAAACACTAAAAAATGTACATTGCCAAAACTAAACCATAAAAATATCCAAACCTAACCACAATTAAATAGGTAAAAAGGTACTCGCTACAATGAAATATCAATATTGTCTAATCCAGCATGGAAAAAAAATCAATTATCAAAAAGATAAAATAATCCAAACGCAAAAGTTGTTATATAGCTAGCCACAAATTGTTTTCAGAAGGATGTAAACATTTATTCTTTAGTCGGACGAGATTTGAAAATCTAAGTCAAAATTCACATAGAAAGCTCAAAACTCTAAAAGCAATTATTTTCCAAAAAGAAACTTGTGTTGGTCAGCAGAGAATCTGCAATTTTTATAGATATCACAGAACCAAAGAATTCTGCACATCCCGATTCCATAATAAATATCACTACCAGCATAATTTTCAATTTGTACAGACTAAGCAATCTTAAGTATCAAGAAAATTTGAGAGCTGTAATAGAGGAACAAAAGAGGAACCCGTAAGAGTTAGGGAAAGCAGCCTGGTGATTTCCTGCACCCCCATCAAAACTCAGTTGTCAGCAAATGCAAGTTTGTGGGACCGTCATCCCCGGATACTGAATTTGATTGCTCTCGGAATTGTGGACACCAAACGTCTCATATACCCAGAAAAAAATTTCATGGAATTAGTGCGATTGTGCTTCAAGAAGGATGTTCGTTGCCATGTTAACGTCATTTCTGGCCCGCACAAGGGCCTGCCTGGCCGAGTTTCTGTCAAAGCCCATCGAAACAAGTGTAGCAATGGAATCCTCTGGTGGTTCCGTGGCAGTTGGCACAGTAGGATAGTTCCTCTAAAATAGCACAAGGAAATTAAACCAGTTTAGATTCCATAGTACCCACATTCTCACAATTACTATGGCAGAGTCGGCTCATGCTTAAAAGTTGGTCAGCATACCTTAGAAGTCTAATAAATAATCAAATTCTCTTCGTGGAATGGTGTAGCTTATGAAATGTGTTTAAACTGACAGCAGAAAGAAGCATTCGCCAAATGTACTAACCTCAACCTGGCGGCCTGTGAAAGATGGCATGTTTCCTCTAACATCTCTATTCGGGGCGGCTGCTGGAGGATTCCCCACAGATGGCAAAGAAAATTGTGAAAAGAATGAACTGATGAACTCTGGAAACTGTAAACATGAAGATAAATACAATTATGCGTTGTTTAGATAACTCGAAAGAACCTAACTATAGAAAGACAAGATTATGTCAAACACACTAAAAATGAACAAAAACGAATAACAGAATGAAATTGTTGCATAAAAGATCAAATTTTATAACATCAAAATATTACAGGAGATTAAAAAAAAAACATGTAAATGTAAGTTTGTCTGTCATTTATAAAGCCTGAGTTTAGTTTCCACAGTTTGAACAAATACCAAAAGCCCAAACTACAATCTAAATAACAGAATTATAATTTCACAAGGAAAAATAAGAAACCAATGTGTTTGTGCAAATTTAGAATTTAACCTTAGCCTTGCGGATGCCAAATACATTCAAACGATATAGGGAACCAGCAAGTATTCCGCATATCCCTGGTAAGATGGATCTTCTCCATGAGGACAGAAGTAGCTGCAAGATCGACAATAAAACTAGAGTACACAGCTAGATAAAGCGAAGAAGGTATCACAAAAGGTATACATAAAACAGTCACTCCTAACCTGAAGACCAGCCAGATATATGAAAGACTTGTCAGAGAAACGAACTCCAAATACACGGAACCGAGTTGAAACAGGAATATCAAAGAAGAAGGGTACAAAGGAAGCAAATAAAAGACCATAAGGTCCAGAAGTGACTAGATTCACTGCAGGATCTGCACAGAAAGAAAGAAAAAGAAGTGTTAACTAAGTGAAAATCATTAGAAGTAGAACATAACTTTTGATGCTAAAATCTGACTAAAAATAGGTGAAATTTATTCTGAATTTAAGATACAACAGAAATGAACTCCAAAATTAACAAGATGGCATGAAATAAACAATAAATTTCATATTGCAAAGCATAATGAGCAAGCTGAGGCATCTGACCACCAATCTGCTATAATTGTTTTTCATCCATAATTCCCACAATAGATTCCTGCCACAACTGATGTTCAATGACAACATGATGAGATAGTTAAAATCAGATACCAACTAAATGAACATCCCATCCTAGGCCTGTTCATCCATTTATTGCATACTGGTTACATGTGAACTGTCGCATCCTAGGCTTTTCCTACTTTTCTTTTTTATTTTTTCTTTCAAAGGTTGAGTAATGGTCTAACCCTTCCATATTAGTGTGGTTAGTTGGAAAAGCTTTTTGATACCAATAAGATCAAGCCTTTACCTGGATAGTTTTTGTAAACACTAAGGTGAGAATCAATAATTTCTATTCCATTCACTCAGGACATATATAGAAAAAGTGTACAATTTAACCTCACTAAAAGAATGTAAAAAGACGAAAAAGAAAAATATCTCTAATAAAACAAATACACTAATATTCTTTGATAATTAATTCTCAGTTTCTTATAAAAATAAAACAAATATACAAATATAAGCACTATAAGTCTATGACACCTTCCTCAAGTTTGAGCATATACGTCAATCATGCCCAACTTGTTAAAAGAAGTTATACGTGCTCCATTTAATGCTTTCGTGAAGATATCTCATATTTGCTCTCTCATCTTCACATATCTTGTCTGCAAAGAATGTCACCATATTTGGTGATGCTCACTTTAGAAACAAAGCCTTGGTCGCACTCTTTTTTGGGATATGAAAACCTTAGTCTCCGCCAACAATCTCAATTCTTTTTTTCCCTGTCTCAAGTTCGAGAAGAGTTTATAATATATATATATATATATATATATATATATTTTGAACAAGAAAAAACTTTTCATTGATATATGAAAAGGAGAAAAAGCGTGGGCAGAGCTTTTTATGTCTACCCTATTTGGTTTTTCTTTTAATTTTGAGATGAACTCCACCGCATCTTTCTCATGGCATTTCTCCTCAAAACTATCTTCCCACCAAAGGCTCTTCTTGAAGAATAACAAATGGAAGTAGTAGATAAAAGTTTTGATTTAATTGTAGTGGATCTCGAATGGAGGTAGGAGCTAGTGGATTAGGAGGGCTGTTAGTTTTGTGATACAAACAAATTGCAATTAGGTCCCACAATCCACGTGGAATTAAAACTTCAACTAATCTCTCTGGAAAACAAAATCTTGCTGTAAAGGAAGATGCACAGTCATTTGGTTAGCAGGGTAATGTTATTATTAGATAGATTCCCAAACCCTAAACCTCCTTCCACAGTTGCTCTAAAGATCGACTCCCACTTAACTAAATGAGATCCAACACCCTCCCATAAGAACTCTCTCAAGCTTTTTCTGACTTGGCTCCATGAAGGAAAGAGCTTTAGAGAGAAATTAAATCAAAGTCTCGCTTAAATAGAAACAAAGTATGTTTCTTACTGGAAGTAGGCAGTCTTCCAAAGGTGAGATTTGTCTTTGAACCTTATTTTATATAGGGAACCAAAAATCAAGTACACTAGTTAAAACGTAATCGTCATCCCCAACAAGTCTTGAGATTACAACTTTAAATGGCTTTTAAATGATGAAGAAATTTAGTGAGTGAAAAGCTTTCTCTCATGCTCTCCAACATCGCCCTTTTCACTAGAGAGGACAAATGGATTTGGCACTTGGCAGCCTGAAACTTTTACTCCCTCGATAACTTTTCAAATTTAATTTTGTAAAGACACTCCATGTAAATAATAATATTTATGCTATTCTTTCACAAATTAGAGTCTTAATGACCTTTTGATAAACTAACGGACCTTTTTGTAACTACTAGGTCATCGGAGTTTTCTCCTTTTTTATAGTTCATCCCAACAATGAAATATCTATTTCCCACAAAGGAAAAAAAAGGCATCAATGCTATGCGTACTAATTAAAAGACCCTAGTTCTACCAGAAAGCATCTGTTTCTCGAAGAATAACAACATCCCAACTCTCTTTGAGTTGAGACTTTTCTAACCAACCTTCTCTTACCCAATCATAGGCTCCTAGCATTCCAAGAAAGGATTTTCATGATGGAGCAACGGGGGCCCAACTACATTTGGGGTTTACCTTTCTATCATATTGAATAGTGGTCTTTACATTTTCAACCTAGTGTCTTTTATAACAGTACTTGTATTAACAATCCGACTTTTGAAAAGAGGCCAGCTATGTACGACGGAAAAACAAGGTGGTGGGAAACTTAGAGAGGAAACAAACTCTGACGTCTCTAGTCCTAGCCCTAAGTCCTCGATTGCTGAGTATATGACCCACCACCTTGACCACATTGATTTCTTACGTCACATGGATTAGAAGACAATGGGTCAGAGCTTCCTTCTAATTAATGTGGCCCACATGGAAGAGGATCATTGTGAGTTTCCTTCTAATCAATGTGGCCCACATGGAAGAGCACCACCTTGACCACATCGACTTCTTAGAAGACAGGGGGATGTCTAAAGTTCGTTGCTTAGAAGGAAAAACCTACTCTTTCAATTTGAAGACTTAGTCTAAAGGAGAACAGATCTCAGGATCGAAAATGCAAAATCCAGTGGCTGAACCAAGGGGATGAGAACACAGCTTTCTTCCATAGATGAGTTAATGTGAGAAAGAATAAAAGCTTCATTGCATCCTTGGAAGATAAGGATGGTATCTTACTAACCTCTGATGCTGAAATTGATAGTGAAATTCTTGCTTTTTTCTCCAACCTTTTCTCAAAGGATGAAGGCGCACGTTTCCTTTTGATGGACAGTGGCAAGAGTGGCTTGAGGCTCCCTCTTAAGAGAGTGAAATTATCAAGGCAATGAAGAGTTCAGTAATCTGAAGTCTTCGGGTGCTGATGGTATGACCAACGAGTTTTTTAAAAAATCTTGGAACATCTTGAAAAATAATCTAGAAGAGGTCTTCCGAGATTTTTTTGAAAACGACATCATTAGTAACATAACCAATGAGATGTATGTGTGCCTCATTCCAAAGAAGTCTAGGACAAACAAGGTAAAAACTTTAGACCGATCAGCCTTGTGACTTCTTTGTACAAGATCATCGTCAAAGTTCTAGCGAAAGGCTCAAGAGAGTCCTCCCTTTTATCATTTAATGATATTCATGCTGCTTTTGGGGGAGGAAGACAGATCTTAGGTGTCATTGTAGGCCTTTGAGGTGGTTAGGGAATGGAAAACTAAGAATCAGAAGTGTTAGAGTATTTTAGTATATTTTATATTTTTGTATTAATATTAATTTGTCATTTACCTTCTCCTTATAGAATTAGGTCGACCTCGTATATTTGTCTATATATATAGACTTTAATAATGAGAATACATTACATTGGATTTTCTCCAACCTTAGTCTCTACATGGTATCAGAGCTCTAGGTTTCTTGCCCATTAGGATTTTGCACCCATTAGGGTTTTGTACCTTAGGGTTTTGTTCATTGCTATCTAACACAAATCGCCGCCGCCGACCACCGCCGCCGCCACCGATCACCGCC